GGGTCAGGTCAGGGGTCAGGTCAGGTTAGGTTAGGTTAGGTTAGGTCAGTCACCTACATACAACCTTCCAACCTTCGAAGCCTTCAACAACAACTTTCTAATGCCTAAACCCTGTAAAAAAAAACAGAAAAATCAAAAGATTACTTGCAATTAATTGCAATTAAAGGAGTCAAGTACAAAAATCTGTTTTGGTTTATGAAATAATTTAGAAGGTCTTATCTTGTTTTGACTGATCAAGTTATCTGGCAATCAAACAAAATAATACTTGGTCGGTGGGCGGCGTTGGACGTGGCAAACTGTCCACTAGCTATTTGTTCTAAATACATAGTGACTCCAGGGCCAATTTCTCACTTCCTGAGCGTGTTAGGTCATGGCTCCGTGTCCACTCCTTTTAGAACTTCCGTGCCTTGTGTGTTCAGTTTGTTCCCTTCAGTTGGAACTTGGTTCAGTACACCTATGGGTTAGGTGTTTGTTGTGGAGGAGATGATGGACGCGACTCCTACCTAGGTCCCTTGGCCCCTTAGCCCATCTAGGCAAACAGTGTGTTACCCCATACATTGTCCCTACCCTTTGCAGAGCTCGGCCTCAGTAGAGAAACAAGATACACTATATAGCTATTCTAATAGTAGAGCCGTATGCTTAAGCAGGGAGTGAAAAGAAATGGTCCTTTTAACACTACAACCATAAAGACATGTATAGGCAATCATGATTGTATAAAGATTTCTTTGAAATCTTTATGTCCAAGTTAAAGGTACATATGCATTGTTTTTTTACTGTAGCTTTGTGATCGTGACAGATATATCCATGTAAAATAAATATCACAGATAAAAGGAATGCCAAAAAATGTGATCTAGCGCCTTTGGAGCCCTCAGATAACTAATGATAGTACGCGGTACAGAGTCTCGTAACGCATTACAAGGAACCCGCTAATAATAGCATTAGTAGCTAATAACCATGTGTAAGGACTACCCTACACGTGCGAGATTCGAACTCGTCACATTCAGAGACTAGCAAACAACTCCCCACCAGTTGTTGTTGCCTCTAAGACCATTAGACCACGTTGGTTGAAGAGCAGCACTGTATTTCGATTTATATATCCCTCCTCACTCCATGTAGAGAGGGCATAGCCACATGCCATTGTTGTGTGCCTGAAGCCACACACCTATTGACTCCTGCCCATTCAATGTCCTTGCTGTGATGTACCTATTGGCTTGTCCCAGAGTAGATCCAACGCTTGTTCCTCCTCATTGATGTATATTGGTCTGTCACAACATGTACAGAGACACCTCAAGTACCCAGGCCTCTTGTTTGCCACCCCGGCCTCGAAATTTATTTCAACAAGTAACTCCTCGTTTTTGTCGACACACTACAACAACATACCATCTATACTTTTAAATTGCGCTGCCAGCATCATAACTACTCGCCACCTCGAACTAAGACAGACCGAAAATCTCAAGATGCCTATTCTTCTCAAAGGTAATCTTCGGCTCTCTCTACCGGCGTCTGGCAGTACGTTTCTCTAACATGTGTATCAACTGCTTTCAAACCTAACGTTATGGCAGTGAAGTACCAGGCCCCCTACCGACTCATGCACAAATCACGACGCGATAAGCGAGTTTTCGATGCCCTCAAAGCCACCGGACACGAGATCAAACCTGCTATTCTCACCGAAGTCCTTATGCAACTATTCAAGACCGCGACTCCCTTGATAAAAAAGGGACGCGATAATGGCGATGACCTTTGGGATATTCTGCCTCTTGTGCAGAGCGAAATCGATTGGGCTTCGAAGGTACCACAAGCGGTTTTCTTCGAGATGTTTGTGCGCCTGATCGAAGCTCGCTGCGAGTGGGAAAAGAACCCAGAATATCCTTACTACCGCTACGATTTGTACAATCCGGCCGTTCTCGCACTCATCGCGTTCCGCAAATCTGTAGGTGATCATGGTACCGTCGGCGAATCGTGGATCGTCACAGACGCTGTCTTCTTCAACGAGCTAGCTAGAGGCTTCGACATCGATGAGGATGAGGATGAGGACGTTGTAATGGATGGTTCGGACTGTCAGACTAAATGCGAATATCACCATGCTGAGAACCAAGACTACCACCTCGAGGATGAGGATTCATATGGTAACGATGAAGAGCTTCAGGATGAGAACCAAGACCCGACCGTTGCCGTTGTAATCCCTCCTATGGTGCAGATGAAGATCGACTAGAAGAATCGACTCTTCACATCCTTCTAACTCCCTACATATCTTCTCTGTTTCTTTGTATCCAATGTTGAATGTATGACTGTGTCCTTTCCGTCCATTGTGATCCCTGGCAAGGTACGATGCTAAAATTGGAACCAATTCTACTAGTAACAACTCGTACATGTGGAATAAAGTAATGTGTTAGACGCATATTCCCACGACGAACCCCTATGCAAAATGCACGTGTCAAAGCAAAGCCGCATTCCAAAATTAGCGCGGTTTAAGAAGACTGCCGCGGAACGGAAATACCCTCGAATGGTAGAGGTGGGATAGGGCTTTAGTGAAATTATCCTATAGGTCGGGACAATTTCCTTCGGATTAACCTGATCCTCCCCTAATTTTTGCACACCCAATAGCATGCAGCCGGTTACCGGGACTCAATATCGGGCCTGGTACGGTAGAGGCTCCTTAAATGCCGAGCTTGTTCGATGCGATAAAGATTATATGCACTGCACAAAGGATAGGCGCTGCGGGGACTATAATCAACGTGTGATATGTAGATATAGTGTAGGCTCGGTATATCCTATACGAAAGACTATCATCGTCGGGTGTCATTCCCTGCAAGTGATTGAAAGGTAGTAGATCTAGGGCGTCGTATTTTCATTTGCGGCCTTCCTGCTCAATCGGCTTTTCAACTGTGAAAAGCACGCGTTTCTGTCCACGCCTCCTTTTAGCACATCTCAAAATGAGATAAGTGGCGGCATAGACCCATTTTAGAACTGTATTAGCCCATCTCTACGAGTTCTCTGTTCTCCCTTCTAGCAAATAGCGTGAGATTAGCTGTAAAGATGAAGACGATTACCGCAGTCGCTGCGCTTGCGACGCTCGTCCAGGCTGGACTTCGCTTCCCCTGCTCTACACTAACTTTTCAGCGACTCGATCCAGCTGGCGAGCCTGGCCAGAACCCGTCTTCTCATGTCCACCACATTGTTGGCGGAAATGCCTTTAATGTGACCATGCTTGGCGATGTCTCCTCTAGGGCTACTTGCACCACATGCCAAATGTCCGAGGACTTTTCCAATTACTGGACTGCTACTCTGGTATGGTTGTTAGCAATAATTTATTGGGACATAAGCTGACGTCTTTTTTTGTATTCAGTATTTCAAGCATCCAACGAACGGTTCTTACCATCGTGTTCAACCGATCCCAGTTCAGCCTTTGTTAGGAGGCTCCAATGGTGCTCAAGGCGGACTTACAGTCTACTACACGCAGTTTGATCTGAGCAGAGACAACCTGAAGCAGCAACCCGTCAAGAGCTTCCCACCGGTAACTATTCGCGTGAATACCCATCTACACTACATATAATAACTTTCCCAGGGCTTTCGCATGACCGTAGGAAGTCCGACTGCGACTTCACGCTCACACCTTGGGCTTAGTTATCAATGTATGACAGGCGGTAGCAGGGGCGCTTTACAAGCTGATATGCCATCTAAACCTTGTTCCGGCGGAATATTCACTACTCACCATTTCCCCCCGTAAGTGAATTGACCTCTTGCAGGTTTCATCTGGAACTAGGCTGACTCGACTTAGGTGCTGGGATGGAAAGAACCTCGACAGCCCGGATCACCAGAGCCACATGTACAACACAGTCAACACAGACTACTTTAATAATGCACCGGCTTGTCCTGCTAGGTAAATAAAGATACATGTGCTAAGCCTTTTTCTCTCTGGTAATCGCTAACCCCGACGTGGTAAACAGTCACCCTGTGAGAGTGTAAGTATTTACTAGAACCTTCTCCTTCTATTATCTCCTTTATTCATGTCACAAGTTCAGTTACATAGTTCCTCCAAACCCTGTTTACCTTACCCTCAAAGAGTAATGGCTGACTCTAGAGAACTACAGACCACAAGTGACCTTTGAAACAACTTGGTACGTACATCGAGTCGTGGCCATCTTCTCCAACCCCGTAGTTTTCATAAGAGCGGGGCATTCACTTACCCTCGTGTCAGGGACACAACCAAGTTCAATAGCATGTGGCCGTCAGGTGCTCCAAATCCATTTGTATGGAGTTTTGAAGGTAGGCACTAGGTCCTTGCTAGCGACAACATTTTATAATAATAATTATAACTAGGATCGTCGTATGGCACTCACGCCGACTATATGTTCGGATGGAAAGGAGATGCCCTCCAGCGTGCTATGAACAAGTCCGAGTGCTTCTATGATGGCTGCGGCTCCATCCAGAAGCAGGCCATGAATATCGCTAATCAGTGTACCGTTAAGGATATGGTTGGAGAAGTTACTGATGGATGTATGTTCTCAGAATACCTGCCGCTCCTTATGCCGATACTAATTTGTACTCAGGGCTTCCGAAGCTGCCAGGTATGGCTATGTAAGGGAGTTGTAGCCAAGGTATTATGAGCACTTAAGGCTGGGTGTCCATTGGGATTTTCTAAGATTGAAATGTGAACTGTTGAGGTTCCTTGAGTATTCTATTCAGATCGAATGAAATTGAACTGCAGCGCCTTATCTTGCGTATGAATTCCTTTCTTCTTTTTACCAGGTGCTAGTAACACGGTGGGAGACATAGCATAGAATTCAAACATATGCATTTTCCCTGCAGGCAGTACACTACAGTTGTAGTCCCATGTTATGTGCTGGCACGACCGAATATGCAGATTTCCTACAACTACGGGCGTATACCTTGCAAAGGGCCCCGAAATATCTAAGATATACGAAATAATGATGTAATACAGACTTCGCTGACTATGAAATATCTCGAAATCTCCCCAGCGCGATTCTTGATTAGTCGGGCTTACGCCAAATGCCAAGCGATAAATACCCTGGTGTGGTGAGGGCGATCTGAAGCCTACCGTAGTCAACTGCAGTCAGCTCGAACAAGATGTCATGTATTAAAACGACAACGGGGTCTGGAATCGCGATAACAAGGAACAATTGTTGAAGGCTCACAAATCAATTCCGACCAGTTATTCCGACTTCAATGTCTATCTATCAGGTAAAGAATGCGGATGATCCAAGGAGGTCGGTTAATGGTAGTAGGCAACACCATCATAACCAAACCTGGCTTATGACAACTACTTCCCGAAAGGTATGGGTGACCACTTCATGTAGTACCCAACACAGCCTAACGACACCGCAGGACCTCGAATGTTTGCCACCCACGTCAGTTACGCACATGCATGACCCGATTTGCGAACAAATCGAGCTTTATTATGAGCTCAGGTAGAAATAAATGAAGCAATATCTCGCATGATCTTTCCGTATCATTGTGAAATGAGAGTTGGGCAGCAACATTCCTTGAGTGTTGGTGTGTCTGCTCGGTTACATTATAAATCCCACGGTCTCCTCCCCATTCCGGTAACCAATACGTAAGCCACCAACTTACCCCAGCTGAATAAAAAATACATGGATTCTAACTTGGCTCAATGTATCATTTCTTACTCCGCCCCTCTCGTGCTCCTGTTCTCGACGACCGTACTGATATCGTTTGTATCATCGCGCCGAGTTAATACTACCAGCATCACAGCCGAAAAGGCCGCGATGGCAAATCCTACAATAACACAAAGGCGATTGCCAACCGATTCTATCACGGAGGTTGGGAGAGTCGCAACCTGGATGGTTAGCGAAGATGCCGATTTCCAAACGCACGACCAAATAAAAATTTGCAAGAATACGAGCGGATTATCAGCTACGACATCAAAACTCGCAGAGCTCTTCACACAAGAAATCAAAGTACGTGCTATTTGCGATTAATGATGACGAGGCAATCTGTTTTACCTTTCCGCATCCGGGGCTGCGAGATCCAGGTGGTTCTATTTGCCTTGCCTGCTAACCTCATCTCTCCTCTAGAGCCAACTCCCAGATGGCCATGCGAAACCGTTACAAACCCGCGTCACCGCTATCCATTTCGAAAATCCTACGGCCCTCCCCTTAGAACCAGGTTGGATGATGGAATTCATACCAATACCGACTGCCCAGGGCGTAATCGAGGTGGATGGACAACGGGCGATTCCCAACTATTACTTCCACTTGACGGCTCCAGTTCGAGTGTCGGGGAACTTTTTCGGTATCTTGCTTTTGTCTCAGATCTCGTAGCAGGCCTTTCAAGAATGTTTTATAAAGAACTCCTTTCCACAATCCACCTCAAGCCTACATACCCAACATCAATTTGGCAAAGAGTATCCAACGTCGTTGTTGTTCGAGTCTTCCACTGTTCCCTAATATAGTGTCGAACGAAGGATTTAGGAGCATGGAAAGCTCTGTACTGTTCTCCACTAGAGTCCAGAAAGATGGATTTATGGGCGCCGATGTGGGGATGCTATGGTTTTGTAGAAAGTTGAAGCTCAGGTTGATGAGGTCATCTAGTTGATAGTTGATTAATTAGTCAGTTTGACTTACAACTTCGCGTGGTATGTAAGATTGCCTACTTCCAATTCGACTACCGTTTCCTTCAATCCTGGCATCCTCAATTTGCGATCGCGATATACTTCTCAGGTTCTCCTGCTGCATGGCCTGGCTTTGGTACAATGCGTACTGAGACTCCCAGTGCTTGTATTTTTCCGCCATAGGAATTTCATTTTCGCAATTGCGTAAAGGACTAAAGAAGCCGCACTGAAGTTCTCTGCATATCGCTGCTCGATAAATGTCTAGAAAAGTGATTAGCCGGGACGGTTGAAAAGCAGTTTGTCAGGCTCAGTGATTGATTCTGGTGGAGCATACGTTGAGGATGATTCCAAGCAGGGTCACCATTTTGGTCTAGTGGAATCATCAATAAGTAGGGTGCTTTTTTATGGCACCGGCATTCTGTGAATAATATGTTGTCAAGTGCATCAAAGCCATCAGTCGCCGACATTGCATTTGATTGACAGAATAGCGTCACCAAATGGCCTTTGTAGCTTCGCGGAATCGTTGAGCCTCCTTTCCCCACGAAAGGAATTCATATATGGGTGGGTGGCTGATGTTCCAGCGCAGTACGTAGCACCTCAAGTTTCTGCTAGTTTACCCAGCTTACTCGACGCCCCTCCCGGACTAATCCGTAACATCAGCCGCCTCACTGGGTATACCACTGTTGATGGCGAACGATTCTCGCAAGTACTGATCCGTATTCGATTAAGTACTCAGACAGCGCCATATTCTCACTCGCATAACGCCTCACTTAAGATAGCAGAGTTATTCTTATATAGCGATGATTTACGGTTTGTACACTTTCGCTATAACCTCAAGTAAGTATCGGACCGCTAAACTTAAGACTACGCTGCTTATAAGCCTGAAAGTTAAGCGTTGAAACCTTATGCAGTACTAAAGTTCTTCTGTGCTCCCGCTGCCCCAAGGAGTGTGACAGGAATGTTAGGGACATATTGTCTCGATCACCTGACTCTTCTCAGCCTCTATTGCACGGGCTTGCAATTTTATCTCCATTTACGAAGGTCTAGGCCCAAGCCTTCGTGGTTCTTGGGAAGTGCCTACAGTAATTATAGCGCTGCGAAATGTTTCTTATTAGGTGGGATATCATGTCTTGCCAGACCACTGGCGGCCCGAAGTCGATGCTCTTGGTCGGGGCGCACTCTGGCAGGTTGTTAAAATATCAACATAATTCAACACCTTGTTTAATTCTTGCTTTTCACCATGTTTGGTCATTAAAGACTTTTGACCAGGGCCTCCGTAGGGACTCTGCTGATTTACCTGGCCGGGAGGGCCTATAAAATCTAAATGGCACTGTGTGAATTCGTCAACGATACCGTAACTAGGGAGTCAAAAGCCTACAGTACATAGTAGTGTGAGGAGTCCTAACCGAAGCAGCATCAATGTATGGTTCTAGGTATCCGGCGCAAGGGCATGGAGGGGGTGGGGGCCAAATTGAGAGGAGGTGGGAACATTCACTACCTTGAACAATGTCAATATTTGCATGCGCATGTAGGTAGCATTGGTCGGATGGTTCGGCGGAGTGTGACAGCCAGCCACCTCAATATTCCACGGCCAGCTTCCTATTTAAGACTCATAACGTTCAGCTTATCCGAAGGTAAAACACGTACACGCTGAGATAAGCAGAAATTTGTCAAACTTTGTCGCCTTAATGACAAGCTATAAACAAAGAGCGCACTGAATTATTCACCCTAATCTAGAGACCTGTTGCCTTATCAAGTGTAAACGTCAGTCTCTTTGGGTAGTATACTGGTGACGATCGCTCATAACGCCGTCGAAATATCATTATTGTGTCCCATTGAATTTACTCAGGGAGAATAAACAGATGTTAAAATTCTATATCATTCACTAGGTGAGAGGGTACAACAGCTAAGGCGTCCAGTAAGATCTATATCCAAGCCTTTCCTAGCTTGCATATGTGTTTCGAGTAACTGCTAGCAGACAATATTTACCCTTGCTTGATTTATTCTTGATTATCCTCCTTGGTCACTATCGAGGATCCAAGTCCATTCTGTCATGATCATTTTCTTCGGCGTTCTGCTCATCTATAACCATATCATCGAAATCCTCGTTAGTGGCCTCTTGACCCCCGCTGTATACTCCGTGGCGAGAATAATTCTCGCCAATCACACCGCTGTTGTGTCCATCATGACCTTTCCCTTGTCTGGCATGGGAGTTTGGATATTTTGCTTGGTGGTGCGGGGGTGACGAAGGTCTCTTCATCATAGGTTGTGAACAGAGTCCAACTGCATTGTCATGACCCTCTACAATGATATCCTCAAAGGTCCCTCCAATGCCCATCGCATTACCCACAAAATCTCGGTCTCCTTTAATTCTGATTTTCTTGAAAGTGTTCGCGTATTCTGTACGAGGCATCGTCTTGTAATATGGGGCGTCGTTTAGCTCAGGATCCAGTGTCCCTTGGAAGGTCGTTTCTCCAAGTGCAATGAAGCGATAGTTTTGTGGAAATTTCATTTTATTACCGTTCTGCGCAGTATGAAATTATTAGCTCAAATTCATAAATGGCAAGTATTCATAGCCAAACAACTTACATCTCTACTGTGTTGAGTTGTGCCAGTATGCCCAACACAACGGATGGATCTACTCAAATCCACTTGAAGCTGGTCAGTGAATTTGATGGTAGAAGTAATCTCTGTGACTTAAGAATAGGAAATCTGTTGGGAAAAGGGCAATAAAGAGTCCTACGTACGGTCGGGGCGCGGAACAATCTCGGTCAAGGCCTGCTGACTACCTCCGGCAGCCACTCTAAGGCCATCGTTGGTGAAAGTATGGTGAGTGACTCTCATAAAGTTGGGCTTGGGCATTTTGTTGTTTATCAAACAATTTTCGTCCGAGTTTGGTATAGGTAACTGAATTGCTAGAAGGAGCGTTGTTTTATCATGCTCCAAGGATTGAAGGTGCTCTATTATGCGAGGCTCTATTGCATGGGCTGAAAGGTTCTTAAAGATCTTTATAATCCAACTCGCTTTTGACGGGGGTGCATATGTCTGACACAGCTTCAAGAGGCTCTGCATTTTTGACCGCATACTCTCCAATACTCGACGAACTTGCCATGTCTGGAGCGCATAATTCTGCTGAATCCAGGTGATGGCTTCCCCTAACAGATCAAGCTCAACGTGCCATCTTTGGTATCGGTCTGGAACGTGTTTGATGAGGTCATGGATTTGAGCAATTGAGTTGAGCAATCCTATTGCTATTCCCACGAGCTGCGCAGTTGCAGCAACTGTACCAACAACTTCCATTGTTTCAGAGTCTGTGATCCTTCGACGCTCGCATGCCGCAATCAGCAAGAAGTTTGGTATCTATCGGCTAGCCCGTGAGAATGGTAAGTACTGTATCTAAAAATGACAGTTAAAAATGCATTTCTGGATCTTACCGTATTCAGGCTCCCAGGTAACAGGGCTAATTCAGCCCATCGTGGCTCTTAGTGAGATTCGATGCATGTTTTGTCGCCTGTTTTATCATTTGCAGGTTCAGGTTATTAGGCAGCAGGGTCTCTATATTTATACACATGAACAATGAGCGGTCGTTGGCAGTCTGATAGTTTGATTTTCTGTCAAGCTGGCTGAGCTTTTTTGCTTTAATATGTGAACATTATTTGCATGTGGTCAGCTTGGTGCGCGCCCCTCGCAAGGTCAACGATCACCGGTAATTGGCCAAGGGCAGCTAAACGAGACCTAGATTGCCGTTCACCTCGCTTAAACTATGTCGACGGTGACTCCTGCGGAGCTTAAGAGTCTCACGCTTCGCCACTATTCTAGAGGCTCTGAGATTCTACACCTGGGTGCTAATATTCAACACCTTTGAATCGTCCCCATCAGCTTAATGCCTGTTGGTAGAATCTGCCTTCGCAAAGTTCTAAAGTGACATGTGCGCCATGCACCGAGCCCCTGCAGTGCGTGCTTGCGAGAAAGGGGAGAGAGAGAAAGGAATTGATTATCTCATGCTGCAAGCTGAGCTGAGTCTCACTGGTCATCGGAGCCTCGGAACTACCTTCACCGCTTCCACTAGACGTTTCCCTGGATGCTAGCCTGTTTAGCTGAGGATGGCAAGGTATAGAGGTGTGAAGAACGTATTATTTCACAATCGGGATTGCCTGATCTTGATTGCTAAGCGTTCAATGGGTAGGGCATGCCAGCCAGTTTGACATGTCACATCTAGGCAGATCAACGCGATTACTCACCGCGCGGACCTTATCTTGACTACAATAGAGTAGCCTATGTAGGTGGCAATATAGAATAGTGCCAGTCAGCCCGTAGAGAACAATGCCGATCAGCCTACCTAGGCACATCGTAATAAGCTAGAAAGATCGAATGTCTGTGTCCAACATGGCCTGCTCAAGAGCCTGATGGGCACGGCAGCTTGTAAGCGACAACTACGGTGGGCCACTACCACAAAGTGCGAAAATAAAAAATCAGGTCAAGTGCGGGGTAAAACCTATTTTCCAACTTTACCTAAGGGGACCAAATATAATAAAGGGTATAAAGTAAAGTTTTAAAAATATAAATAATTACTTAAATACCTATTTTAAAGGTTATATAAATAATATATAGTTTATATTAGGCTTTATAACTATTTAAGTTATAGCTTCTGGCTATATAGGTCTATATTGTAGCTAGTACTGTAGGTCTATATTGCAGTCAGTACTGTAGGTCTGTATTGAAGGTCTGTATTGTAGGTCTGTATTGAAGGTCTGTATTGCAGTCAGTATTGAAGGTCTGTATTGAAGGTCTGTATTGCAGTCAGTACTGTAGGTCAGTACTGAAGGTCTGTATTGTAGGTCAGTATTGAAGGTCTGTATTGAAGGTCTGTATTGCAGTTAGTACTGAAGGTCAGTATTGCAGTCTGTATTGAAGGTCTATATTAAAGGTCTATATTGCAATCTATATAATAGTCCTATTTAACGGTTAAGTTATAGCTTAATTAATAGCTTATTATATATACGTTTATATATAGTTAACCTTCCTATATATAATCTATATAGCTTAGTTGCAATATAGATTGTAATAGAAACCTACAGTATTGACTGCAATATAGACCTACAGTACTGACTGCAATACAGACTGCAATACAGACTGCAATACAGACTGCAATACAGACTGCAATACAGACTGCAATACTGACTGCAATACTGACTGCAATACTGACTGCAATACTGACTGCAATACTGACTGCAATACTGACTGCAATACTGACTGCAATACTGACTGCAATACTG